GGCGGGGGGGGGGGGGGGGCTGAAGGACAACCTTGCCCAGTCCTGCCTTCCTGAAAGAGTGGGCAGCCTGTCTCAGCCTGGAAAGGCCCAGCAGGGCTATAAAAGGGACAGTGTGAAATGGCTGTGATTAACATCAGTTACGTCAAGGCTTTTAGCTTGTGTTCTCTCCAAGCAACTTCTCTTTTCCTCAGGCCATTTGCTCTCCCTCTTTCTTCTCCATCCACTTGGCCTGTTCCACTCTGGGGTCTGGCTCTTCTGCTGGAAGAAACAGACAGGAAGAGACACTGCTTTTAAAAGCCTCCCCCTGCGCACGTTCAGCCCAAAGGAGGGGTCTTGCCCTTCTGGCATCCCCACCTGCAATTGGGTGCCCCAGCAGAGCTGCCTCCCATCCCGAGATCATCACACGGCAGCAGCTCCTGGCCGGGGAGGAGCTGCAAAGCCGTTCGGTTAATGACTGATGGCTGGAAAGAACCTGTGGGCAGGAGCAGGTTCCAGGCTGGCCTTCTCCTCCCGGTCTGCAAGCGCGTGACTCCCTCTCTGGAGGGCAAGCAGGAAGAAGTGACCGCTCTGTGGTGAATTAAAATAAAGGGCAGATATAGTTTCAGAGGCACGTTCATCAACTCAGTATATTGCTCATCTGAATTGAATATGTGTGTCCGTGCAAATACGTGTGACAGGGTCACATATGGACTCTGAACTCTGGAAAAGAGAAGGTGGGGCTTTGCTTCCCTCAGCAGGCGCCTTGCAGAACGAGGCTCCCTTGCTGGGCCCAGGTGGGTCTGACCTGCAGGGAGAGGGTTCTGCAACGGGATCTGCGGTGCCTTGGAGACGCCTCTTCTCTTGCACAGCCGTGACTCCAGAGGAGCTTTAGAACAACAGCGCTGATCCACATGGCAAAGATGTTGTGAAAACTGCCTGACCACTTTTTAAACAAAGCTCACGGCTGTATAAATGTCATAATTTCAGCTTTGTTTATATTTATTTGTTTATTTGTTTGCTTATTTATTTAAATTTATATGCTGCCCATCTCCCCCAGAGGGCGACTCTGGGCAGCTCACACTTAAAATCCAAAACAGTAAAAACAGCAAAAATATATATATCCATATTAAAATTAACTAATAATAATTCTATATTTATTTACATGATTCATTAGATTTACATCCTGTCTTTGTGCTCAACCCTAGACATTTCAATAAAGACTGAGATACAAATTGGATGGACGGACGGATCAATTATGCTGAACGTTGGGTGTTCTAGTCAATTCACCCAGACTGAGTATCTGCTCTACAATTGTGTGAAACAGAAAGAACTACAGTACATCTATTGGGATAATTTGGGTTTTGAAAGATCATTGTTTCCCCTGTTATTATTGTCACAGATAGTTTACAGGCTGCAGGATGGTTCAGTCTCACCGTGCTGAGTGGGGATTATGGGACTGGAAGGGCACCAGATTTGGAGGCATCTGGAGAATATCTGTCTGGGGAAGGTTGTGCTAGAGAAGAAATAAACACTGGAAATGTAAACTGACTTGGCTGGGAGAGATCGATTACTGAACTCCGCAACTGTATGTGAAGATGACCATACTAGATAATTGAAGGAAACCGTTTTAGAACCATCAGAGTTTTCTCCTACAAACAGTTGGTTCCTTACAGATGGACAGACTTGCAACCACCCAAAAATACTTGAAGGAAACTAATTCAGTCTTTTCAAGGTAATTTAAATGGGAGCAGGGAAAAAATTGGGAGGACTGTCCCCCAGCATCCACTACAGTGGTACCTCAGTTCACAAACTTAATTCGTCCCACGACTCTGGTCGCGAACCGAATTGGTCACGAACCGAATCAAATTTCCCCATAAGATTCAATGTAAATACAGTTAATCCGTTCTGACCCCTACGAATGTGGTCGCCAACCGATTTTGGT